TCTTGCTTGGAGTGGTCCCCCCCCAGCAAGGGAGGAGCTCCCTGAGTCTGGAAAGACCTCACTCTTCCTTCCTGCTCCCCCGGTCTGACCCCTACAAAGTGAGGAGACTACCAAGAGAGGCAAGACCATCCAGAGCTGCTGACATTGAACTCTTGGCCCCCACACACCAGCTGGTCACAAGAGGAGATAGAGAGCCCCCACCTGCTCCCACTGGAAGAAGAGATGGGAAGAGGACAGAATAAGAACACACTCAACAACAGAAAGACCAATATGACACCACCGGAATCTAGGCACTCCACACCAGCAAGATCTGAAAAGCCCAACACAGAAAATGAAGAAGAGGTGGACCTCAAAAGTTATATTGGGAAGATGATAGAGACCTTTAAACAGGAAGCAAGAAAATCCCTTAAAGAAATTGAAGAATAAACAAGCAAAAAATTACATGAAGTAGAGGAAAAGACAAACCAAAAAATTCAAGAAATAAACAAATATTTTCTCCAGCCGAAAATTAGTGTCCTTGTTTATGAGAGTTTCAAAACCAAACCAACAGCGAACATCAAAGTAAATGGAGAGAAACCCAAAGCGATGCCTCTAAAATCAGGAACAAGACAAGGCTGTCCTCTCTCTCCATATCTCTTCAATATTGTACTTGAAGTTCTAGCTAGAACAATAAGACAATAAAAGGGGATCAAAGGGATACAAATTGGAAAGGAAGAAGTCAAACTTTCACTATTTGCCAATGATATGATAGTCTACATTAGTGAACCGAAAAACTCAACCAGGGAACACTTACATGTGATAAACACCTTCAGCAAAGTAGCAGGATACAAAATTAACTTAAAAAAATCAGTAGCCCTACAATATACAGATGATAAATCCAATGAGAAAGAAATCAGAGAAACATCATCCTTCACAATATCCACAAGCAACATAAAATATCTTGGAGTAATGCTAACCAAAAAAGTCAAAGAACTGTACGGTAACAACTTTGAGTTTTTAAAGAAAGAAATTAAAGAAGATACCAGAAAATGGAAAGATCCCCCATGCTCTTGGATAGGTAGAATCAACGTAGTAAAAATGGCAATCTTGCCAAAAGCAATCTACAGATTCAATGCAATCCCCATCAAATTCCCAAACAATACTTCACAGATATTGAAAGAACAATACTCAACTTTATATGGAAAAATAAAAAAAAAAACCAGGATAGCAAAAACAACTCTTTACAATAAAGGATCCTCTGGAGGCATCACCATGCCTGACTTCAAGCTCTATTATAGAGCCATGGTTCTGGAAACATGGTTCTGGCACAAAAATAGACAGAGAGACCAGTGGAATTGAATTGAAAACCCTGATATTAACCCACACACCTACGAATACCTTATTTTTGACAAAGGTGCTAAATCTATACAATGGAAAAAAGATAGCATCTTCAACTAATGGTGCAGGCACAACTGGATTAGGACAGCAGAAGATTGCAGATAGATCCAAATCTGTCACAATGCACAAAACTTAAGTGCAAATGGATCAAAGATCTCAACATAAATCCAGCCACACTGAATCTTCTAGAAGAGAAAGTGGGAGATACCATTGAACAAATTGGTACAGGAGAACTCTTCCTGAACATTATGCTAGTAGCAAAGACATTGAGGTCTGCAACTATTAAATGGGACCTCCTGAAACTGAGAAGCTTCTAAGGCAAAAGACATAATCAGTAAGACAAAAAGACAGCACACAGAATGGGAAAAGATCTCCACCAACCCCACATCTGAGAGAGAGCTGATTTCCAAAATATACAGTGAACACAAGAAGCTAGCCACCAAGACAAAATGAAATTAAAAAGTAGAGCGCAGAACTAATTAGAGAATTCTCAACAGAGGAATCTGAAATGGCTGAAAGACACTTAACTGCTCAAAATCCTTGGCCATCAGAGAAATGCTGCTCAAACCAACTCTGAGATACCATCTTACACTGGCCAGAATGGCTAAAATCAAAAACACCAATGAAAATCAATGCTGGAGAGGATGTGGGAAAAAATGGAACACTCCTCCATTGCTGGTGGCAGTGCAAACTTGTAAGACCACTTTGGAAAACAGTACAGTGGTTGCTCAGAAAATTGGGAATCAGTCTACCTCAAGATCCAGCAATTCCTCTCTTGGGCATATACCCAAATAATGCAAGTCCATACAACAAGGACATGTTTTCAGCAATGTTCATAGCAGCATTGTTTGTAATAGCCAGAACCTGTAACAACCTAGATGCCCCTTAAGTGAAGAGTGGATAGAAAAACTGTGGTATATTTATACAATGGAGTACTACTCAGCAGAAAAAAAAATGGAATCTTGAAATTCGAAGGCAAATGGCTGCAACAAGAAGAAACCATCTTGAGTGAGGTAACCCAGGGACAAAAAGAGAAACATGATATGTACTCACTGTATTAATTTTAGACATAGAGCAAAGTATTACCAGCCCACCATCCTCTGCACCAAAGAAACTAGGAAACAAGAAAGACTCTAAGGGAAAAATGGTTGGACCCCAGAGAATGGGAAGTGCAGGAATACCTGAGCTAATTGGCAGCATGAGGGTAGGGGAGAGGGAACTGCTAGAATGGGAGAGGAGAAGAGGAGGGGAGAGGAGGAAATGGAAGAGAAGAAATATTGAGTTGGTGGAAGAATAGTGAAGAGCAGGATGAGAGATACCACATCGGAGGGAGCCATTACAGGTCTGAAGAAATATCTGGCAGTAGGGAGATTTCCAGATATCTACAAGGATGACACGAACTGACAATCTAGGCAATGATGGAAAGGATTACTTAAATGCCCTTCCCCTATAATGAGACTGATGACTACTTTTTATACCATCCAGTGACTGATGGAAGCAGAGGCAGACACACACACACCCCCTGCCCCTATATACACTAAACCAAACTCTGCAACCTAGATGCAGAGAGGGAGGAGTGAAGAGCAAAGGGGTAGGTACCAGGCTGCTGAAACCCACTGAAACAGCTGCCTGAACAATGGGGGTCACATGGACACCAGAGTGCTGTCTGGGAGGCCAGCACTGGACTGATCCAGACTCCTGAACATGGATGTCAATTAGGTGGCCTGCGCACTCTAGGGGGGCCCTGGTAGTGGATTAGTATTTTGCCCTGGTGTAAGAAGGGATTTTAAGAGCCCATCCTAAGTGAAGGGATGCTCTCTTGGCTTGTACACATGGGGGAGGGCCTAGGTCCTATTCAGGATCATGTGGTAGACTTTGGGAAACCATTGTCAAGGGCTCTACCCTGCCAGGGAATGAAGGGTGGATGGGCTAGGGAGCAGATGGCGGTTTGGGGAAGTGTTGGGGGAAGGGGAAGGAGAGGGAGAAGGGATTGACATGTGAAGCAAGCTTGTTCCTAATTTGGAGTAATAAG